CACTGTCCTCAGGCTGGAGTGCAGTACATGCAATGGCCACCACAGCCTTGACCTGCTGGACTTATGTATTCCTTCCACCTCAGGCTTCCAAGTAGCTGGAACTACAGGCATGTGCTACCAAGCCTGGCTAATTTTTTCACATATTGTAGAGACAAGGTCCTGGCACCTGTGGGTTCAGGCAGTCCTCTCATCTCATCCTCTCAAAGTGCTGGGATTACAGTCATGAGTGACCGTGCATGGCTTGACTTGTCTATATTTAAAGAAGGCAAACAAAAGTGACGACTAAGTGAAGTGCCTGCTTGATTGACTCATGGATGAAAAAAGGAACACCTGAAGCATGCTAGGATATTTGGGGAGATTTGAAGCTGTATTATATATTGTTAGATGATAACGTATTAAGATTTACTTTCTTAGGTATACTAATACCATTGTGATTACTAACCCCTATATGACAATTGTTTTAAATTTTCTGCATATAAAAGAGACTTTTGATAAAAACCTAGTAAATGCATTGTATTGAGTTCTTTGGAAAAATAAATTAAGAGAAGTCTGTATTCTCTTATAGATATTGAAGCACAGATTCGAGAAATCCAAGGCAAGAAGGCAGCTCTTGATGAAGCTCAAGGAGTGGGCCTTGACTCTACAGGTTATTATGACCAGGAAATTTATGGTGGAAGTGACAGCAGGTTTGCTGGATACGTGACGTCAATTGCTGCAACTGAACTTGAAGATGTAAGTTACATATTGTATACAAGATGTACACATTTTTTTTTTGAGAAAGCAAGAAATATGAAAGACTTTAAGTCAACTGGTTTATTCTGTAGAGATATTTTGGGGTTCTTTTAGAGGATAACACTATTGAGGGTATCCTTCCTTGCTAAGGTTCAAAACTTTACTGGAAGTGCTCAGTTCGGACTAACTTGTTTATCCAGCAAATCATTAACACTATTATAAAGTAGACAGTTGTAGGATAAATTCCTGCTGTTACTTACTGGCTCTAGAGTAGCCCATATGAGAAATGACTTGGTTGTAAATAGCCATCTGTCCATGTGGCTTGATTTCTGATTTAGACCTGATGCTGTGTGTTTTTCTCCTTTTGACATCTTTACATGAATGGAATTTTTCTTGTTACTGGCACTTGTGAGCTTTCATATCTGTTTTAAGTACTACGGAGGATGACTGCCTCTCGTTTTGAAATCTATTCCATGTGGCTTATATTTTATTAGACCATTTCAAACTCTGAAATATCTGTCCATTTTTCGTGTGGTTCAGTTACAAATTTTATTTTACATAAAAGATTATGTAAAATTTTATTTTATGTTATATTGAAGGTTATTAATCTGGTTATTTTAGGAAATGCAAGTCACATTTTATAGTTGACTCTCTATCTTTTTCTTGAGATAAATTTAAAAGTCTTAAAGGTGAAATTTCTGGAAACCAACCACTGACTAGTTTTTTTTTTGAGTCGGAGTCTCACTTTGTTGCCCAGGCTGGCATGCAGTGGCACGCTCACAGCCACTGCAGCCTTGACTTGCTGGGCTCAGGAGATCCTTCTGCCTCAGCCTTCCCAGTAGCTGGAACTACAGCCATGCACCACCATGCCTGACTAATTGTTCTTGACTTACAGAGACGATGTCTCGCCAAGTTGCTTAGGTTGGTCTTGAACCCCTGAGCTCAGGCAGTCCTCTTGCCTTGGCCTCTCAAAGTGCTAGTATTACAGGCATGAGCCACTGCACCCAGCTAGTATTGTATTTTGTGTTCTCATAACCTAATTGAAAAGATGGAGTTAACTGTGTTCCAGAAGCTGAGAGGGTAATTGTCATTTTCTTTTATTTCATTTCTTTTTCCTTTTTTGTTTTTGATTCAGGGTCTCACTCTTGTCCAAACTGGAGTATAGTGCACAATTAAGGCTCATGGCAACCTTGACCTTCTGGGCTCAGGCCATCCTTCTACCTCAGACTCTTGAGTAGCTGGGACTATAGGTGCATGCCACCATGCCCAGCTAACTTTTGTTTTTTTTTGTAGACATGAGATCTCATTATGTTGCTCAGGCTGGTCTTGAACTTGGCCTCCCAAAGTGCTGAGATTATAGGTGTGAGGTACTACACTTGACTGTCGTTTCTTCTTTTCAAAAAAATATGAGGTATAAAGATCTTAAGAATTAACCATTGCTGTACTTTTGACACTAGAAAAGTAGCAGTATAAAATTTTTCTGTTTAAACATACTACCGGGAACAAATACATTTGGAATCAGTTACTTTTTACTTATTTCTATGGTTAAGTTATGTTTAAAAAGCGTGAGTGAAGAAAACCCAAGGAAGATGGAAAGTTCTAAATAAGCTGGCTATAGCTACCAGATGTGAAAAACATTTAATCTTGGCTTCTCTGTGAGAAAAATGAAATGTTCAAGCTTTTCTAGTCCATACTTACTTTATCTTAGCCTTCCTTGCTAATAATTTTAAAAATAAAGAGAACTAAGTTTAATTTCTTCAGTAGTTTTCTGAAGTGAAAGAAAACCTATTAATGTTTACATGTTTTATGAACTATGACTTAGGCATTACACTCTAGTAAATGTTTTGATTTCATGTTGATTTTTTGTAATTTTTAAGCTCTGACATTTAAGTTTGGCTTATTGGGAGTGTTTCATTGCAGGATGACGATGACTACTCATCATCTACAAGTTTGCTTGGTCAGAAGAAGCCAGGATATCATGCCCCTGTGGCATTGCTTAATGATATACCACAGTCAACAGAGCAGGTAACTTTAAAAAAAAAATCATATTCAACTAAAGAAAAGTTGAATGTCTGTGTTTCCATTGAAAATTTCAAGAGTCGGTTCTTAGAATGTTTTGAGGAGAGTTGATTTAGGAGGATTAGAGATAATAATTTACTTTGTAAAGGTAATCATTTCATGAATCATTGAACTATAGATAGAAATGGGGACGTGTGTATTGCCTCATCTCCATATGCCTTAATTCTCAATACAAACATTCACAAAATGATGCAGAATATTTCTTTTATTAGCAGGCATGTGTTAAACATTTGTATGTGTCTTATAATGTTCTGATTTTTGTTTATAACATTGTTTGGTTGACTATTTAAAGTGGGTTTTAATGAGACATCCCTCTTTTCAGTATGATCCATTTGCTGAGCACCGACCTCCAAAGATTGCAGACCGAGAAGATGAGTACAAAAAGCATAGGCGGACCATGATCATTTCCCCAGAGCGTCTTGATCCTTTTGCAGATGGTAATTCTTTCCCACCTTTCTATAAGTTTCAGAAATTTATTTGTATTGAGTTGTCTTTAGCCCTTTGATTTTTTTTGGCATGCGTATGAATTTGCTTTTCTTTTGTAAAATCCCCCTTATTATAGATTTGTATAGATTTGGTTGAAGTCACAGATGCCATATTCTTCATCTTTATAATGCAAGTTTTCTTTCCAGGTAGAAGGACAAGAAAATAATGAGCCAATGCCATAGAAACGCAAAGGGTTAAAGGTTTTTCTTTTACTTTTGTTTTGGGTACGCTTTCTATACTTTGAACAAATGTATTTTTCTGTCAAAATACTTTCAAATTATTGAAAGTTGTCATTCCAAATTCTAGCTTTTTAGGATTGTTACCTCTGAGAAACTGTTTCTCACACTAGAGCGCCCCCCCATATTGCTCTAAATATAGCTTAGTAAATGCGCCTACTTTGCTCTAAGCATACTTAAAGTTAAAACAAAAGTATGTATACAAAGGCTTTGATATTTTTAATAGTTGGAGTCTGTTTTGCTAATTGTAGTGTGCAAGTCAGCACAAGGGGCATAGTGAACCTGATGGAAGCTTTCCTCAGGTGAGTGAGTTTCACCATCAAAATTAGGTGCCTGTTTCTTAAAATTAGATTCGGCTGCAGGTTTACATACTAGACTTTTCAGCCTGCATGAATTAGTAGGGATATTCTTTTTTTACTTGCATAATTGTAATTGATTTAAACATGTATGTCAGAATTCACAGGCCCATACTAACTGTCCTTAATTTCTTTCCTACAGCAGTACTGCTATATGCCAGTCCTGTCTGCATTCTTAAGGGTGCAGTTCAACACATCCTCTCTAGATTATGGTGAAAAAGTATCCCAAAGGAAGTCTTATCAGAGCTAGTGTCAGAAAGAATGACACTACCAATTGGGCATGATCTTCAGCATAGAAAATGTCTTAGAATTTTATTATTTTTTCCTAAATTGTGATGCTATACTACTAGTATAGCTAATTATCACATTTCTAAAGTATAGTGTGCCTCTAAATTTTATATATACTATCTGGGCTTCTTTAAGATATTTTGAAGTTTGGAAAGCAAATACTGAAGCTGTAGCCAAGAGACTAACACATCTCTTAGTACACCACTTTTCTTCTGTATGCATCATAATAACTTGGTAGAAGTAATATATTTCAAGTAATACGTTTTCAGTTGTACTTTCTAAGAAATACAAATATGTTTTCTGGGTCAACAGAACTTAAAAGCATGAAGCCCTTTTTAGTAACTTGACATCAGAATAAGATTATAGGTATATTATGAAAAATCAGATTTTCTAAACTACAACTGTTTTAGAACACTGTATGAAGAACTTACTAGTCATAGTTATTTGTAGTCAGGATTTTTAACAACTTGCAACAGGTAATGTTTTGAATATAAATATCTTTCCAAAGTGTTACTAATGGTAAAGAGATAATTTTCTAGGCTTCTATTCTGCTGCTTGAAGTCAGAACTGCTGATGGAGACAAAGGCACGAAAGTGTACGTATTCCGGATTAGCAACCCAGGAACCCATCACTTCTGAAGACTAAACTGTGCTGTCATTTTGTTTTTATATGCATTAAAATATTTGTTTTAAACTGCTGTAGATATGTTTGTGTTCAAACAGGTTAAATTGATGAGCAAACTCAATAAACAGTAAGATGTATAATTGTTAAAGTTTTCCATCAAAAATAAATTAAATGATTATGGAATAACATAATATTAGAGCAGGGCAGATAAATCAGTTTAACCCAATTATCCTTTATTTATTGTACTCTTGTCCTGTTGCTGTTCTTTTCTGCAGGAGGGAAGACCCCTGATCCTAAAATGAATGCCAGGACTTACATGGATGTAATGCGAGAACAGCATTTGACTAAAGAAGAAGTATGTGAATCTCTTTATTATTTTTTTGAGTCTCTTACTTTAGTGGTTGTGAAAGAATATAAAGAAAGTTGAGATTGAGAGACTGTTATATTTCTTTTTTGCTGTTTGCTGTACAAATATTTTAATGGTATGAATAAAAATTAAGTTGAGAAAGAACCTTACTTTCAAATTATACCAGTTATCAAAATAAAACTTTATTTCTATTTCCTTTTCTAGTCTCAGGTCTCTTGGCCATGTATGTACGTGTATATGTTAACAGTGGATGTGTCTGTGGGGAGCTTAATGGTATATGTCTGAACCCATTTCTGTTAGGGAAAAGTTAGATAGTTTAATTGTGCTTTGAGAGTCCCTTCAGTTTTGGTATGGATGGAGTATTTGGAATAATTCCATTTGGCCTGCAGAGATTATACATTTTGTTTTAATAGCCTTCACACCTTTATCATTAGAATATAATAGATTCATTTGTTGTGTGTATTAAATGGGGCGATAGAGGCTCTCTTTAAAATAATGTGAGTTAAATGTACATTTGTTATCTTTAAATTATACATAATATTTACATAGTTGTAAACATAAGACATAATTATATTGATTTTCCTTTCTACCATTTTTCCATCTTGTTACCTAGTCTTAATTGCTGTTTATCTGAATTTTAAAGAAAACCGTATTTTTCAGTGGAAGCATGTGGTTCTTCACTATTGACTGAAGATTTTACTTTGCTTACTGTGTATAAGTAGGATGTGTTATGTTATGAATTCTGTACTTGTCTTTTTTTGTTAAGAAAGATATTTCATAAAACTGGAATTACAGGAAAGAGAGAAAAAGGAATGTACTACCAATATCCTAGGAAGAAAGAGTAAATAAAGTCTAAAATAGGATGACTAATAGAAGTGACTATGCAAAGGAGATAAACATACACTGGAAGCTTCTTAAAAGTGAGCACTGCATTTTCAATATTTTTCAGCGAGAAATTAGGCAACAGCTAGCAGAAAAAGCTAAAGCTGGAGAACTAAAAGTTGTCAATGGAGCTGCAGCATCCCAGCCTCCGTCAAAACGAAAACGGCGCTGGGATCAAACAGCTGATCAGACTCCTGGGGCCACTCCCAAAAAGCTGTCAAGTTGGGATCAGGCAGAGGTAATTGTTTTTATTTTTCATTATTACTATTTAAAAATTTTTCTGTTTTGTGACTTGTCTTAGTTTGCTCGGGTTGCCATAACAAGATATAGCAGACCAAGTGGCTTACAGCACACATTTATTTTCTCGCAATTCTGGAGGCTCAGAGTCCAAGATCAAGTAGCCAGTAGGGCTGCTGTCTGGTGACAGCTCCTTTGTTGGTTGCAGATGTTTGTTTCTTGCTGTGTCCTCACATGGCCTTTTCTCTGTGCCAGTGGGACCTGTTGTCTCTTCTCTTCCTTTTAGGACACCAGGTCTTGCAAATTATGCCCTACACATATGACCTCATTTGACCTTAATTACCTCCCTAAGGCGCAATCTCCTAATACACATTAGGGGTTTAGACTTCAACATACGAATTTTGGGAAATGCAGTTCAATCATGGAGTAAGGCATGTTCCATGGTAGTAAATATATTAAATATAGGCTGGGCATAGTGGCTCATGCCTATAATTCTAATACTCTGCGAGGCTGAGGAGGGAGGATTACTTGAGCCTAGGAATTCAGAAACGAGCCTGGGCAACATAGCAAGACCTAGACTACACAAAATACAAAAATAAAAAAAATTAGCCACTTGTTGTGACATGTGCCTGTAGTCCCAGCTACCGGGGAGAATGAGCCCAGGAGGTCCAGGCTTCAGTGAGCTATGATTGTGCCACTGTACACAATCATACTGTACACAGTACACAGACCCCAACTCAAAAAAAAATTATATCAAATATGTAATATATGTGGTATAGTGGCATATTAAATACGACATGTAGACATGCAGGCAGTTTACATTATGGAGGTTGAATACAATACAGTGGTCTTCCACATTTTCTAGATGGGTAACTTACGTCTCTGAAAACAGCACTCCCCTAGAGGACTTTCTTTGTCTTAAAAGTTTTTTATTGTGAAAAATATCTCATAAAATTTATCATTTTAATCACTTTTTGGTTTTTTGTGTGTGTGGGAGTTGGAGTCTCACTCTGTCGCCCAGACTGGAGTGCAGTGGCCGCTCCCGGCCACCGCAGCCTCAACCTGCTTGGCTCTGGCGATCCTTTCGCCTCAGCCTTCCAAGTAGCCGGAACTATAAGTGCGCGCTACCACGCCCGGCTAATTTTTGATTTATTGTAGAGATGAGGTCTTGCCAAGTTGCCCAGGCGGGTCTCGAGCCTGCGGGCTCCGGCAATCCACTCACCTCAGCCTCCCAAGGCGCGGGATTACAGGCTGAGCCACCGAGCCCCGCCACTTTTTGGTTTTTTAGGGGGAGGTCTGGGTCTCTGTTACCCAGGTCTTGAACTCTGAAGTGATTCTCCTGTCTCAGCTTCCCAAGTACATGAGACACTGTAGGCATGCACTACTATGCCTGGCTAATTCTTTTTTGTTGTTGTTGTTAGAGACCGGGTATCTCTCTGTTTCCCGGGCTGGTCACAAATTCCTGGGCTCAAGCAACCTTCCTACCTCAGCCTTCCAAAGTGCTGGGACTACAGGCATGAGCTACCACACCTGCCCCTCTAGTTATTTCTCTGTAGGTGTCTGAAATAAAATTTATTTTCCTTTGTTAAGACTCCTGGGCATACCCCTTCCTTAAGATGGGATGAGACACCAGGTCGTGCAAAGGGAAGCGAGACGCCTGGAGCAACCCCAGGTTCAAAAATATGGGATCCTACACCCAGCCACACACCAGCGGGAGCTGCTACTCCTGGACGAGGCGATACACCAGGCCATGCAACACCAGGCCACGGGGGTGCAACTTCCAGTGCTCGTAAAAACAGATGGGATGAGACCCCCAAGACAGAGAGAGGTACTTATTGTGGTTGTGTGGGTGAAATGTTGAGTTGATGAGTGGTATGTTTACGTTTTGGTCCTGGGTACACGTGTAAATAACCAACTGCTTTTGGAACAGATAAAGAACTGAGTAGATGATATGCCTAATTCTCCTTTTTTGAAGAGGTTTAAAATTTTTTTATGGTTTAAGAAGAATCTTAGGAGAAAATTGCAGGTCTTTATCCTTTTTATTGTGGTAAAATGTACCTTACATCAAATTTACTATTTTAACATTTTTAAGTGTACAGTTACATGGAGTTAAGTACATTTTCAGTTGTTGAGCAACTACTATTCATCTCTAGGATTTCACTATTGTTCATTTCTAGGATTTTTTCCTTCATGCCAAACAGAATCCCTGTACCCATTAAATAGTAACTCCCCATTTTTCCCTCCTTCAGCCCCTGGTAACCTTTTTTCTTCTTTCTGTTTCTGTGAGTTTACCCAAACCTCTGGCTTTTTTGTAGATGATCTAAAGCTATATTTTGCTAATTGTTTATGAGTATAGCTGTGCTAAATTAAGGTTTAATAATATATCTGCTGTATTAAAATTTTATAAAGAATTTTTTTTTTTTTTGAGTTGGAGTCTCACTCTCACCCAGACTGGAGTGCAGTGGCCGCTCCTGGCCACTGCAGCCTCGACCTGCTGGGCTCCGGCGATCCTTCTGCCTCAGCCTTCAAAGTAACTGGAACTACAGGCGTGCGCTACCATGCCCAGCTAATTTTTTTTTATTTATTGTAGAGATAAGGTCTTGCCAAGTTGCCCAGGCAGGTCTTGAACCCACGGGCTCAGGCAGTCCACTCACTTCAGCCTCCCAAAGCACGGGATTACAGGCTAAGTCACCGAGCCCGGCATAAAGAATTTTTAATGATATAGGGAAGGACTTAACATGTAAGGGGTAAAAGAAGCAGTGTAGAATTACTTGCAAAGCAACCTCAACTGCATAGAGAATTGAAGGAAGTGACTCGAGATATACTTGGTGACTGTCTCTGTATAGTGATGTTGTGGATGATTAAATAAATTATTTTGATCTGTTTTCTTGTTTCTCAGTCTTTACTATATGTTTTTGAGCAGGTCTCCATTTTAGGAACGTAGTACTTCAGAATTGATCTTTTTCAATATGTTAGTGGTTTGAGAATAAACAGTTTTCTTTTTAGAGAATAGACAGTATTTTTAAAAGGATAAAAATTGTGGTATTAATCTGTTTTTCTCTTTAAAGATACTCCTGGGCATGGAAGTGGATGGGCTGAGACTCCTCGAACAGACCGAGGTGGAGATTCAATTGGTGAAACACCGACTCCTGGAGCCAGCAAAAGAAAGTCACGTTGGGATGAAACACCAGCCAGTCAGATGGGTGGAAGCACTCCTGTTCTGACTCCTGGAAAAACACCAATTGGCACGCCAGCCATGAACATGGCCACCCCTACTCCAGGTAGAAACTCTCTCATTGGAAACAATTCTCTTTTCCTCCTGAAGTATTTTCATTTTTTCTGTGTGGTATTCTGTGTGCTATTAATGCCAAGTTTTAGCAAGAATAAGGGGATATAAAAATAAGTCTTGGTTTTGTTTATAATAGAAAAGCAGTTAAATATTAACACTGATCTTATACCCTAAGGACCTTATACTGATCTTATACTGTCTTATACCCTAAGGACCTTTGTGCTATAGATTGCTAAAAAAAATTTATTTTTTTGGGTAGGTCACATAATGAGTATGACTCCTGAACAGCTTCAGGCTTGGCGATGGGAAAGAGAAATTGATGAGAGAAACCGCCCACTTTCTGATGAAGAACTAGATGCTATGTTCCCAGAAGGATACAAGGTAGTACAGTGAATATGAGTGAGATGGTGTTTAGAATATGAACTTCATTTTGAATACTCAGTAATAAAATTGCTTTAGTTTGCTTTCCTTTGCATCTGGTTTTTTTTGAGTTGGAGTTTCACTCCATCACCCAGGCTGTAGTGCAGTGGCATGCTCATGGCCACCCCAGCGTCGACCTGCTGGGCTCAGGCAGTCCTTCCACTTCAGTCTTCCGAGTGGCTGGAAATATAGGCACGCACTACCACATCCATCTGATTTTTTGATTTAGTGTAGAAATGAGGTCTTGCCCAGTTGCCTAGACTGTTCTCGAACACATGGGTTCAGGCAATCCCCTAACCTCGGCCTTGCACAGTACTGGGATTGCAGGCTTGATCCACTGCGCCCGGCCTGCCTTTCCATTCCTTTAGGTATTTACTAGTATATTTTAATTCCGAAAAGTAATAGAGATGAAGAGAAGTGAATTATCAGTTTTTGAAAGCAAAAAATCTCAAGGATTTCTAAGATCATACTTTGTGAACTGCTGCTGCTTCAGTTTATTAGTGGTTCCATATTAGGTCATAGCTATTGGTGCCTCAATAAGATTTTTTGTATTTAAGTTTATGGATTGTCAGTGGACACAAAGAATATTCTCTTTACCACAACAGCTTTCTTTTTTTTTGAGCCAGGGTCTTACTCTGTTACCCAGACTGGAGTGCAGTGGCACAATCACAGCTCACTGTAGCCTCAACCACCTGGCTTAGCCTCTTCCAGTAGCTGGGACTGCAGGTGTGCGCCACTATGCCTGGCTAGGTTTTGTTTTTTTTTTTCTTTTTTTTTTTTCTTGGTAGAGACGAGGTTTCGCTATGTTTCTTGGGCTGGTCTTAAACTACTGGGCTCAAGCAGTCCTCCCACATTGGCCTCGTAAAAGTGCTGGGATTACACATGTGACCCACTGTGCCTGGCCTTAGGGTTTTTTTTGAACTGTAAAATTTTCTAGATGTCTGACACATAGAGAATATTTGCTTGTCTAAGGGTAGTCTGTGGTCAAAGCCAACTTGGAACCTAAGTATAAGTAATCTGATTGCCCTTAAAGAACCTTTTCTGTTAATGACTTTGCTTTTTTACAGATGGCATGTATTTCTCCCCCCTCCCCATTATGTTTGAAGTAGAGTATTTGTTTCAAGTATGCTTGAATTTTTGCTTTAAAGCTCTTTGTAACCTTTATATAATGCTGTGGGTATAGACAGAATCCGCTATTGGCCACGTGTGGTGGCTCATATCTGTAATCCCAGCACTTTAGGAGGACGAGGTGGGAAGATTGCTTAAGCCCAGGAGTTTGAGACCAGCCTGGGCAACACAGTGAGACCCTGTCTCTACAAAAACAGAAAAAATTAGCCAGGCATGGTGGCACATGCCTGTAGTCCTAGCTACATGGGAAGCTGAGGCAGGAGGATTGCCTGAGCCCAGGAGGTCAAGGCTGCAGTGAGCTATGAGCGAGCCACTGCACTGCAGTTTGAAGGACAAAGTGAGACCCCTAACTCAGAAAACTAAAAATCACCTACTATTGACAGCTTGAGTGTCTTTGTCACTTGTAGTCACCGATTTCCCTAGTATTGGTCAGGGGAAAATGCCTCTTTAGTGATTCTACTAAAAACTAGTAAGTGAATATAAAAATAGGCCTTTACAAGGTACTTAATGTAGAGTGATGGCATTGGACCTAGCATTTATTTTAGTCCTTTCACCTACAGAGTTAATACCACTTTATTCAAAATGGTGGAATTTAGTTTAGTGGTCCATGCTAGTGCATACATTAATTAGCTACAAAAATTAATTGAATCTTTTTAGACTCATTGGAAAAGATTGGAAAAGATAGGCTTATTGACCTGCCCGGAAAGTTGTATTTAAAAAAAGAAAAAAGTCTGCCAGTTTTAAATTTTTTCCCAGCCTACACTAAAATTTTTTTTTTTTTAATTTCAATAATAGCTTTAGGGGGTATGAAGAGATTCTGGTTACATGGATACATTGTGCATTTTTTGAAATAAATTATTGATTTTCCTAAAGGCTTAGTCAGGTTGTGTGTATTTTATAGGGGTTTAGTAAGTATTTGGTATTAGTTTTTATGTATTTAACTTTTTTTTTTTTAAGTCAGTCTCACTCTGACCCAGGCTAGAGTGTAGTGGCATGCTTACAGCCATCACCTGCTGGGCTCAGGCAATCCTTCGGTTTCAGCCTTCCAAGTAGTTGGAACTCTAGGCATATACCACCACGCCAGGCTAATTTTTTTTCGTTTTTTTTGTACAGATGAGATCTCACCATGTTGACCAGGTTGGTCTCGAACCCCTGGGCTCAGGCAGTTCTCTTGCCGCTACCTCTCAAAGTGCTGGAATTATAGGTGTGAGCCACCGTGCCTGGCTTAACTCATTTTGTAGTTTTAGACTTAGGTTTGTTTTTATAGTGCAGGTGTTCATGCAATGTTTTATTTTATTTTTCTTTCTTTTTTTTTTTTGAGTTGGAGTCTCACTCCATCACTCAGGCTAGAGTGCAGTGGCATGCTCATGGCCACCCCAGCATCGACATGCTGGGCTCTGGCAGTCCTTCCATCTCAGCCTTCCAAGTCGCTGGAACTACAAGTGCGTGCTACCACACCTGACTAATTTTTTATTTTTAATTGTGGAGACAAGGTCTTGCCAAGTTTTCCAGGCTGGTCTCGAACCCACAGGCTCAGGCAGTCCACTCACCTTGGCCTCCCAAAGTGCTAGGATTACAGGCTGAGCCACTGAGCCTGGCGGTGTTTCATTTTAATACCAAGATAAACCCATACATTATTTACATGTACCATGAAAGCTTATTTCCATTTATATAAATATATTATAATGTTATTTGCTCTACTAGCACTTTATTTAGAATTGCTGACCTATATTTTATAATTTTCAATTTTTAAATTATTTGACAACTTGACTCATCAGCGTGTTAATACAGGTGAGGATTTGAAGGTGACCAGAATTTCAACTTCTTTTTATAAGCCTGCCTCACCTATTTCCTCATTTCCCCACTTAAACGTTTTTTTTTTTAGTCAGAGTCTCACTTTTCTCTATCACCTAAGCTGGAGGGCAGTGGCACACTCACAGCCACCACAGCCTCAACCTGCTGGGCTCAGGCGGTTCTTCTGCCTCAGCCTTCCATGTAGCTGGAATCATGGTTGTCACCACCACACCCAGCTAATTTTTTTTTTTATATTGAGTAGTAGTCTCACTCTGTCGCTCAGGCTGGAGTGCAGTGGCATACTCACAGCCACTGCAGCCTCAACCTGCTGGGCTTAGGTGATCCTTCCGCCTTAGCCTTCCAAATAGCTGGAACTACAGGAAAGCACCACCATGCCCAGCGAATTTTTTGATTTATTGTAGAGATGAGGTCTTGCCAAGTTGTCCAGGCTGGTCTTGAACCCCCGAGCTTAAGCAATCTTTTATTTATTTATTTATTTTGAGTTGGAGTTTCACTCTGTCGCCCAGACTGGAGTGCAGTGGCCGCTCCCGGCCACCATAGCCTCGACCTGCTGGACCCCGGCAATCCTTCCGCCTCAGCCTTCCAAGTAGCTGGAATTACAGACATGCGCTACCATGCCCGGCTTAATTTTTGATTTATTGTAGAGATGAGGTCTCGCCTGCCCAGACGGGTCTCGAACCCACGGGCTCAGGCACTCCACTCACCTCAGCCTCCCAAAGGCGCGGGATTACAGGCTGAGCCACGGAGCCCGGCTGAGCTTAAGCAATCTTATTGTCTCTGCTTCCCAAAGTGCTGCTATGACAGGTGTGAGCCACCATGCCCAGCTATATTTTAAACTTTTAAGTAAGATAGAAAAGTGGGATGGGTGTTGATTTTTGTCTCTAAGCACATTAAAAGCTTCTTAGCAAATGAATGGTAAAATATTTTAAATGCAAGTATTATTTATTATGCTGTTCTTAAATCCAGAAGATTCTAAATTATCTTATGTCTAACTCCTTTAGGTCCTTCCCCCTCCAGCTGGTTATGTTCCTATTCGAACTCCAGCTCGCAAGCTGACAGCTACTCCAACACCCCTAGGTGGTATGACTGGTTTCCACATGCAGACCGAAGACAGAACTATGAAAAGTGTCAATGACCAGCCATCTGGAAACCTTCCATTTTTAAAACCTGATGATATTCAGTACTTTGATAAACTGTTGGTGAGTGATACTGTCAGAAACATCATTGCATTTTGTTTGGGAGTTATCAATCATAACATTTCAACCTGCCTTTAAATCTTTATATTTACCATAGGTTGATGTTGATGAGTCAACTCTTAGTCCTGAAGAGCAGAAAGAGAGAAAAATAATGAAGTTGCTTTTAAAAATTAAGAATGGAACACCACCAATGAGAAAGGTAAGTTGTTAAATCATGTCCGCTATATTTTTAACTTTAGGAATTCATAATGACTATTCGTCTTTATTAAGGGCATATAGCATGAGGGAAATAAATATATGTAGTATGAAGGATTTAGCTTTTTAATCAAAGACCTGTACGAATAAGGATGTTGAAAAATTAGGTTATTTTTGTCTTTAAGGCCTTTAAAGTATGTTTAAGGATTGAAGATAATTAGTGAATTATGTAAGGAATTGTGATTACACTATACATGGCTTGAAGATGGAAGATACGTCAGGGAAGCTAAGGCATTTTATATACCTGTGTGGTTCCATTCTACTAAATTACCCTTTTGAATTAATGGAAGACACCGAATTGCTGTCACAGGAGTTCAGATTTTAGAGTAATTTTGACCAAAGTGAACTCATGCCATTTATGTAAAGTATCTGTAAAAATGTAGGCTAAAATATTAAGTTATAGAGTAATTTGCTCATTCACAGTGCCTGGTTTATAAAGAAAACACTTTTTCCTCTTCTTTTTTCCTCAGGCTGCTTTGCGTCAGATTACTGATAAAGCTCGTGAATTTGGAGCTGGTCCTTTGTTTAATCAGATTCTTCCTCTACTGATGTCTCCTACTCTTGAGGATCAAGAGCGCCACTTACTTGTGAAAGTTATCGATAGAATACTGTACAAACTTGATGACTTAGTTCGGCCGTATGTCCACAAGGTTTGTTATCCTTAAATAGTGTTGCTAATGGCTTAATATTTTGACTTTGCAATATATAACGAATTCATGGATTTAAAAAGAAACTGCTTAAGTCTGTGTATTTGTGAAATTAAAAAATTCTGAAAAAGTAGTAACTGATGTTTTATACTCATGGTAGAAAGGAAAGTGTACAACTTTTTAAGGCACTCAGGCTGAGACTTAAGCAATGTTAAATTCACATATCCTAGACCCTTTTCTTTGCAGAAGCATACATCACACATACAGGCATATATAACTGTAACTTGTCATCTTTACCGTGGTGGGGTCATATTGGTCATATTTTTCATTTTCTTTTATTGACATCAGATTAGGATGAGAACAAATACTCTGTGCCATGCCTTTTAGTGCTAAGACCTATCTTTTCGCTGATGGTAATTATGGCGCAAAATGTATAGATATATAAGTTATTTTTCTAAAGGATTGAATATTAATCTACTGATATCTCTCATTTTCACATATCTGGGTTTTGAAATTGTATAATTAAAATTCTTAAACAATTTGTCCCTTGATCAGCAAAATCCTGATAATATAAATCTCCTGTATGTGTTTAGTTCTGTTACTTGAGTGTTGCGTCAGTAATTGATGTGAAAGTGTAGCTTCTCTTTTTCCTCTTTTTCAGATCCTCGTGGTCATTGAGCCACTGTTGATTGATGAAGATTACTATGCTAGAGTGGAAGGCCGAGAGATTATTTCTAATTTGGCAAAGGTATTTACATTAAATTGTAGAGAAGAATGTTTATAGCTGTTAATGGAATTATTTGATTATAGGAAGAAATGGTTGAGGATTAATGTTACTAATTCATGACTGTCCTTTTTTTCTTTTGAGGCTGCTGGTCTGGCTACTATGATCTCTACCATGAGACCTGACATAGATAACATGGATGAATATGTCCGTAACACAACAGCTAGAGCTTTTGCTGTTGTAGCCTCTGCCCTTGGCATTCCTTCTTTGCTGCCTTTCCTAAAAGCTGTGTGCAAAAGCAAGAAGTCCTGGCAAGCGAGGCATACTGGTATTAAGATTGTGCAACAGATAGCTATTCTTATGGGCTGTGCCATTTTACCGCATCTCAGAAGTTTAGTTGAAATCATTGAACATGGTAAGTTGTAATGTAACTTTGTCTTTTTCCTTTGTTTCCTTTCTTTCTTTTTTTCTTTAAAGAGACAGATCACTATGTTGCCTAGGCTGTACTTGAACTCCTGGGCTCAAGCAATTTTCCCACCTTAGCCTTGGACTACACATATGTACCACTGTACGTGGCCTACCTATGTTTAATAAATAGGACGGCTGTTCTGGGGTTTGGGTTTCTGATCTGCGGACATAAATGGAAGGACACAGCTACATAAACACTATGTATTTTATGATGGGGTTCATAATATCTGCTAACAGGCTGTGGTTTGCATTAGCTTTTGCCTAATGTTGTCTTATGTGAACAGATTCTGCAGTTTGGCTAATGGTTAAGTATATTGCTAGAATCTGGGTGGTACTGTGGAAATGAGTTAATGTTGGTGCATGGCTAATATCTGTGTTTCCTTTTGTAGGTCTCGTGGATGAACAGCAGAAAGTTCGGACCATCAGTGCTTTGGCCATTGCTGCCTTGGCTGAGGCAGCCACTCCTTATGGTATCGAATCCTTTGATTCTGTGTTAAAACCTCTGTGGAAGGGTATCCGCCAGCACAGAGGAAAGGTATCCATTAGATTTATTTTTTTTTAATTTGTACTCATTAAAATTAAGGTGATGTCAATCTAAATTACTGAAGTACATATGTTTTTTTATTTTAAAATAGGGTTTGGCTGCTTTTCTAAAGGCTATTGGGTATCTTATTCCTCTCATGGATGCAGAGTATGCCAACTACTATACCAGAGAGGTGATGTTAATCCTTATTCGAGAATTCCAATCACCTGATGAGGAAATGAAGAAAATTGTGCTGAAGGTAAATGTTCCACATTTGTTATTTTTTTGTTTTTTTGAGTTGGAATCTCACTCTGTTGCCCAGACTGGAATGCAGTGGCACGCTTCCGCCTACTGTAGCCTCAACCTACTGGGCTCCAGTGATCCTTCCGCCTCAGCCTTCTAAGTAGCTGAAGCTACAGGCATGCCCAGCTAAGTTTTGATTTATTGTAGAGATGCAAGCTCAGGCAATCCACTTGCCTCAGCCTCCCGAAGTGCTGGAATTACAGGCTTGAGCCACTGCACGTGGGCTAATTTTTTTCTTTAGTTGGATTCTCACTTTGTTGCCCAGGCTGGCATGCAGTGGCACACTCATGACCACTACAGTGTCGACCTACTGGGCTCAGGTGATCCTTCCACCTCAACCTTCCAAGTAGTTGGAACTACAAGTGCATACTATCATGCCCAGCTAATTTTTGATTTATTGTAGAGACAAGATCTCGCCAAGTTGCCTGAACTGGTCTTGAACTCCTGGGCTCAGGCAGTCCACTCGCCTCAGCCTCCCAAAGTGCTGGGAATATAGGCGTGAGCCACTGTGCCCAGCTTCCTTTTTTCAATTGAGTTGCTAGGCAAAAATCCCAGTAGTTCATGCCTGGGCGAAAAGAAATTTAAAGTATTTTTTCTAAAATGGCTATCATGAGTTACATCAGGGCTGTGCTTGATTGATGAATTTATGTCAAATGGTCAGCAATAAGTATTCATTTCAGGTCATTTGATTTATTACTATTTTTTTTTAACCTTTTAGGTGGTAAAGCAGTGTTGTGGGACAGATGGTGTAGAGGCAAACTACATTAAAACAGAGATTCTTCCTCCTTTTTTTAAACACTTCTGGCAGCACAGAATGGCTTTGGATAGAAGAAATTACCGACAGGTAAGCTTTTATTGTCAAATAACATTTTCAGAAATTTTTTTGTCTAATTTTTAGCCAGCTTGAATGCATGTTGCATATTTTATATTAAATTTTGCCTTGATTATCTCAATTTGTATGTGCTTGGTTGTGAAAAGTGTATTTTAGTCAGCTGGTAAATTTCCATCTTGGTTTTGCATTCAAGGATATATGCCCAACTATGAATTAATGTTTTTATCTAGCAAATTCAGTGCTTTATCTGGCTAGGTAAAACATGGATACAGTTTTACCTTCAGTCACCTTAACATTTTGGTCGCTTTTCTCTTAATGCTTAATAAATAGGAGTTGGCCGGGCTCGGTGGCTCAACCTGTAATCCCAGCACTTTGGGAGGCTAGGGCTAGTGAATTGTCTGAGCTCTCAGGTTTGAGACCAGCCGGGACAACTTGGCGAGACCTCATCTCTATAATAAATAAAAAATTAGCCAGGTGTGGTAGCACACGCCTGTAATTCCAGCTACTTGGAAGGCTGAGGTGGAAGGATTGCCAGAACCCAAGCAGGTCGACGCTGGGGTGGCCGTGAGTGCGCCACTGCTCTCCAGCCTGGGCAACAGAGTGAGGCTCTAACTCAAAATAGATAGATAGATGGATGGATGGATGGATGGATGGATGGATGGATGGATGGATGGATGGATAGGAGTTAAACATTCTCAGCATGTTTACTAGCTAAGTGAATAGTACGTTTGGTTTTCATGATGTTGCTATATTTCCTTGGGAAAGCAATAAACTAAGGGTGTTTTCCTCTTTTTAGTTAGTTGATACTACTGTGGAGTTGGCAAACAAAGTAGGTGCAGCAGAAATTATTTCTAGGATTGTGGATGATCTGAAAGATGAAGCTGAACAGTACAGAAAAATGGTGATGGAGACAATTGAGAAAATTATGGGCAACTTGGGAGCAGCAGATATTGACCATAAACTTGAAGAACAACTGATTGATGGTATTCTTTATGCTTTCCAAGAACAGACTACAGAGGTAATGAGAACTAATTATTATGGAGAATTGCCACTGACTTTCTTATCTGTAGGAAAGCATACTAAAGCATAGAGTTTGAAGTAAAATGCTCATATTCTCACTCAGTTAAATTGGTTACTAAGAAATATTCTACCTCAGATTTTTAGATTTTATTAAAAAACCCAATGTTTGGGTGGTTGGAAAAGTTTGCATATTAGTATATTTTAAATGTTCAGTCACAAGCTAAATGATGGTAGTTTTTATTTAACCTAGCTTTTCTTTTTTAGGACTCAGTAATGTTGAACGGCTTTGGCACAGTGGTTAATGCTCTCGGCAAACGAGTCAAACCATACTTGCCTCAGATATGTGGCACAGTTTTGTGGCGTTTAAATAACAAATCAGCAAAAGTTAGACAACAGGCAGCTGACTTGATTTCTCGAACTGCTGTTGTCATGAAGACATGTCAAGAGGTAAACTGTTGTACCACATTTTTATTATTCACTAAATAGTTTAATATGAACAGTAACATTTTAACATAATTTTTTTTTTTAATTACAGGAAAAGTTGATGGGGCACTTGGGGGTTGTGTTGTATGAGTATTTGGGTGAGGAGTACCCTGAAGTACTGGTCAGCATTCTTGGAGCACTGAAGGCCATTGTAAATGTAATAGGTATGGAATTTGGTGGTCACATAAGACTGATTGTTGTTGTTGTTGTTGTTGAACTTTCTTTGGCTTTTTGGAAGTAAAATACAGAATCATATTTAGAAGTTGTGAGATTTTTGTCCCCCCCCCCCTTTTTTTTTAAAAACATTTCAAGATTTTAGTTAAGTGATATCACAAAGTCTTGTTTTCCAAAACTCATTTATATTTTACTTTAAAAGAGAAAAAAGGGCAACTTTAGGATCTACAAGAGAGTTGGGAGTAGTTATAAGCTCTCTAAGGTCATGGAATAGAGGACCCTAATAGAAATAGTGTGTTAGCGGAAATATAGTCTCCATGTTCTACAGAGGGGGAAAAGGCAACCCTGAAGTTTTAAAACAAACTATTTGTATATCTATTCAACCTTGAATTAGTAAGTGGTTGTGATAGGTTTTTTTGCTTGCTATTAATTCAGGGACTATAACCAGAGAGAAAGTGAATTTTAAGTATCTTGTCTTTATTTATATACCCTAGTCTTTTAAAACTGTCCTTTCAGTTTTATGAAAGAACGAACACAGTATTACAAATGATCTTGGCAGTGGAGAGCAAAGCTTTTACTCTTTTAGGGCATTATGAGGAAACAAACGAATTGTTCTTATATTTAATCCTTCCTTGTAATTGAATATAACTGTTGCCAAAATTAACTCCTCTAGGATTTTAGAGGGTCTGAAATAACATAACAGGATGTCCAAATAGCTGACGGTGGTAGTCACTGTTTTTCTCATTTTAGTTAGGGGTTTTTTATGCAACATAGATCTTTGAACGATTTGAATATTTACATGTAACCTCCACTTTGGTCCAGTCCTCTCTATTGTGGAAGATAGCTACTTGCCAAATATCAGTTGGCCACTTGTAGGGGTCTGGTTTGCAGGGAGTTGTAAACCATATTTTCTGTTAGGGAAACGTGGGAAAAACAATGGAGAGAGAATCAGAGCTAGCAGTTATAGTTAGAGCAAGAGCCCCTGCCAGCTGCCTCCTTTTTTCTCTCTTCGTAGGTGTAAATACCATCCAAGTATGCCCTGCATTGCAGGGAGACTGGAGATCTGTTTGTTTTGCAGTTAAAGGGTAAGGGGGCCCTTTCTGGAAAAGTCTGCTTTAATTTACATGTTAACCTCTGGCTTATATTGTTATGTGTGGCCGGAACATTAGCTGTCCCCATACTTAAATGTTAGTGCACACATACATTTCAGAACCAAAGAAACTTTTTTGTTGTAGAGTATTCATCACTCTTTAATCACTTCACTGTTTTTTTTTTTCATTTGTATGCATAATCAGGAGTTGTTAATAAAAAGTTAGAAAAAATTCTGAGTCTGGGTAGAATTTGGGCTTTCTCTTTCCATAGGCAGCTGTAAGTTTATATTTCTGCATAGATACCTGTATGACATTGCTAAGTAAAAGGAAAATGAAGAAAGTTTGCATTGCTAAAGTAAAAGGAAAATGAACAAAGGTTGCATGCTGACAGTTTGTTGACTTCTGTTAAATAGGTATGCATAAGATGACCCCACCAATTAAAGATCTGCTGCCTAGACTCACTCCCATCTTAAAGAACAGGCATGAAAAAGTACAAGAGAACTGTATTGATCTTGTTGGACGTATTGCTGACAGGTAAGCAGGTTACCTAAACATTTTTATAAGCAGTATCAGTTCAACCATTTTGAATTCAGTTAGCAAAACTTGCTGAATGTTGCTAATGTGAGTATATATAGTCAGACTTTCCAGTGTCAGTATTTTCAGATTTCAGTTGGATGGTAATGGAGGGTGAGATAGAGTTGAAGACTGAACCAGCCTTTCTGGAGAGTAATAATAACTTTTTTAACGCTTCAAATGAGTTAGTGATTTGCAGATTTACCTTTAAAACTTCGCTAATGTCACAAAAAATTTTTTTTAAATAGAGGAGCTGAATATGTATCTGCAAGAGAATGGATGAGGATTTGCTTCGAACTTTTAGAGCTCTTAAAAGCCCACAAAAAAGCTATTCGTAGAGCCACAGTCAACACATTTGGTTATATTGCAAAGGCCATTGGGTGAGTGTTATTTATACCTCAGTCTTAAAAAGTTACTTTATAATGAACCTGTTGTAGTGTTGAGAAATACTTCTATGTAGAAATTTCTTTTGCAGCGTGGTATGAGTAAAGCAGTTGAAAAAGCACTCATCTAATCACTGACCTTCCAATTTTGGGATTGTTTTAATTTTGTTTTTAAGATTAGAAATATAGTTTATTTAGAAAGTAAATTAGAGAGAGAATGAGAGAGAGAGAGAAAAGATTCACCCCTCCTAGGTAGGAGAGGGGGCCAGAGCTTAGGAAACATGGCAGCAGCCACAACTCAAAGAACACATGGCCACACCAGAGTCTAGGAAAGCAATGGCCTGTTTTCTTTCATTTTTAATTGAATTAAAATAGACAAGAGGCTTAAAGATTTCCTTTAGTTACACTTTGGTTATTTTCAGGGGAATGTCTTTTTAAGGGCCTTGCTTAAACTATTAAGGTAAGCTCTTTATCTCACAGCATCATTCAAGTCTCATTAATGCTTTTAGTTTTTAAAATGCCGTTTTAACATTACTCCATGGAGTTCAACTGAATTATAGCTACTTTATGAAATAATCTATGATTATCTGCGTCCACTCTCTCAGAATCAAGCTAAATGCTTCTGTGTAAAAAGACAGCCACTGTAGAAGATGAGGAACATGTGACTTATTAAGAAATATTTTCAAGGAACATAATATATGAAAGTCTGATTAATTAGGTAGAATTAATCAGACTACACTCTTTCCCCAACATGTTCTCATTCTTTTTTGGTAGCGATAGTGTTTGTGTCCGTGGTGATGGAGTCAGGAAACCCTAATGAGTAGCAGTTGTGCAGCTCTTTAGTCCCTGTGTCTTTCTAAGCTTGTGTCAAGAATAGGTGCCTAAAGAAGGGACAAGTGTCTCTAGCTTTTGGGAACTTGTGGGAGGATGTGGGAGATAAAGGGTAAATAAATGCAGTGGAAAATGTGTGGTGTGGGAGGGAAGATACAAGGAAAATAGGTTTATATATTTCAGCACAGGAAGACCAGTTTGGTTACTCCTGCAACCACTTCTGTCTAACTTTAGTTCCTGTTTCAACAACTCAAAGAATTACTCAGTTTTGACATTTAATTAGATTTCTTTATATTTCCGAAATTTAACTGAAGACTGAAAATTACATTTGAAAATGAATTCAAATTAACTTTTTAAAAAACTGACCTTATAATTTGTTGAAGTTTTATGTATTTTTTTTTTTTGAGTTGGAGTCTCACTCTGTCACCTAGACTGGCATGCAGTGGCCGCTCCCGGCCACCGCAGCCTCCACCTGCTGGGCTCTGGCGATCCTTCCATCTCAGCCTTCCAAGTAGCTGGAATTACAGGCATGCGCTACCACGCCCGGCTGATTTTTTAATTTTTTGTAGAGATGAGGTCTCGCTG